TGAAACAAACTTGCCCTATACTTTAGGATTTCTCATACTAAATCAATTCTTATAAATGTTTACGTTTAAAAATGGTAAAAGAGTTTTACAATTTGTTATGTGAAGCAATTTTCCAAGCTGTCTGACATGTTTTTTTTATATTTTTGCCTCTTCACTCCTGGCAAACAGCCATATTTTGAGATCAGTGAGATGACCACCCACCGAACCACGCACGGTAACCCACGCCCGCGATGATTGATGAACTTTAGACTTCGCTAATGTTTTCGTTTCCCCGGGTGTAAATAGCCGGGGGGAAATAGTATCGTCGCCCCGGGATTACGTTCGGAACGGCGCTCCGCGTCGTTGGCTCGGGGATAAGTATTCAGCCGCAGTTACTTTCTTCCTCTCAAAGACCTATATGACGCATGCAATAAACACATTCTGTCTTTGGGTAGTCCAGGTAAATTATAATATAGGTCAGTGGCCACTTCTCCTTTCTGCAGTATAGTTTCATATTTTCTATGATCTATAATACACACCTCACCCTAAGTGTTGGACCGCTAACAACATCACCTGGTAGGACCTACCTCCAGTTAGAGGTCATTAACTTTATGTGGTAACATCTCGTGGTGCAACAGTTAATTAGATGCAACCTGTATAATGATGAACAGCTGTATAATGATATTATACATCATAGGAAACTAGAAAATACATGCATGCAGAAACCCTCGCCTTGCTGACAAAACCATTGTATTTTCCGAACATGAAGTATCCAAAGTAGTTGTCATGGTAACACGATAATTTTTTAAGAACATTCTTACAAATGAAAAATCGTATCTAAACCTACCTATAATCGTATCTAAACCTCGTACCTAAAAGTATCACTTTTAATTACAAAATTATTAATTTCCCAACATCTATATGTTAGGTATGTCACTATACGTAATATAAGCCTCAATTTAAGGTAAAATTCAACCACAAACGCTTCGCAAAACGTTTTAAAGTCACTAGTGTTCTTTATAAAACAAAACTGCCTTTTAAAATGGCTTTATCGATAAACTTTGAGTTTGCAATAGAATGTTAAATGATTTCAAATTCTCGCTTGCAAATAACTTTGCTTTCTTTTTTATAATACAGCATCTGTATTACTCGAGATTAGGGAGCTTTAGATTTGACTACGAGTACGACTACGAGTACGAGATTCGTCAAGCTAAACGTATGCTGTATGCTTACGCCATCCCGTACTGACGCGAAAAAGTCGTAGCCGTCGCCCATCTGAGTACGAAATTGTGGAGAACCTCGTAGTCCTCACGACGACTTTTCAAAAAAAACCCAAAGAAAGCTGACTTTTTTTGTTTTCCAAAAATAATTTGTAGCATTTATATAGCGTTTATCCAGCGCAAATAATATGTTAGTGCTAAATATCTGGCCTGTTTTTAATGTTATGACTTATTTACACGTTTTGTAGGGGATTTTAGTCGGCAGGAGATTTAGTTTATGAAACTTTTTCTCTCGTTGTTGGTTTACTGTTATAAAAGTAACATTTGAATGGAAATGAAAACGACTACCGTAATTTTCTCGCACGCGATCAAATCTCGTACTCGTAGTCGTACTCGTAGTCAAATTTAAAGCTCCCTATTATCACCGAGCCGACGGCGCGAAGCGCCGTACGAGGGTACTAATTCCCCCCGGCTCTTTACACCCGGGGAAACGAAAGCATTAGGGAAGTCTAAAGTTCATCAATGATCGCGGGCGTGGCTCATCAATGAAGTTTCGCTGGGTGGTCAACCTCACTGATCTCATAGTATAGCGGACTGTCATGAATAGCCAACACTGATTGGTCCAATTTAAAATTTGCATTATAACGACTGCATGACGACAGCGAAATACCAAGCATTTCTTGATTTGATGATTGATAAATTTCTTGCAAATATATTTCATTTTTGCTCGCATTTTTGCAAGATTTTGTAAATTTCAAAAGCTCCCTCAGAAAGAAATTGCGAAAGAATCGGCTAAAAGAAGGGAGCCGACGTTAACGAATGTAAGTTTGTTTTAAATATTGATTTTATAATGGCTTTAAAACCCGACGGCCTTTGCGTATATGAACCAACTAAACAAGACAGCATATAATTTCAGTGTATCTTTAATATTGATTCCCTTTTTTATTATATTGAATTTTTTAAAGAAAAAAGAAAGCAATGTTATTTGCATGCGTGAATTTGAAACCATTTTATTGCAAACTCAAAGTTTATCGATAAAACCATTTAATTAAAGGCAGTTTAGTTTTATAAAGAACAGTTTAAAACGTTTTGCGAAGCGTTCGTGGTTGAATTTTACCTTAAATTGAAGCTGATATTACGTATAATAACATACCTAACATATATATGTTGGAAAATTGATAATTCTGTAATGAAAAGTGATATTTTAGGTGATTTTTCATTTGTAAGAATAATCTTAAAAAATTATCGTGTTACCATGTCAACTACTTTAGATACTTCATGTTCGGAAAATACAATGGTTTTGCCAGCAAGGTGAGTGTTTATGCATGCATGTATTTTCTAGTAATAGCTATGTAAAATTGGTAGGCATTCCAATAAGATCAAATAGTCTCAGGTTTTCTCCAATCAGGAAGCAAATTTGAACAAATTAACCATAGTTGTAAGATTCTGCATCTGATTCATTGTAATGAACAATGTAGTTCAACAGGAATAATTGGCAATTTAGAAAAGCAAAATGAACAAAATAAGTAAACAGATTAGATTATTAAACATATGTACAGTGACCTGGCATGTATGAGAAGTTGACCTTCGAGAGCTAAAAAAGGTTGTCGTTGCACAGTAAACAATGCACTAATCTAGGGGAACCACTATAAAGTATAATTTGACCAATCCCCCACCATTGGATCAACATATAAGTTAAATAAAGTCTATACGAGTACATTTCAGTACTGTGGCTCCATGTCCATGACTCCATCAGTCCATGTTCAATGTTGATGTTCATTTTCGTATCTGAATGCTGTTTATGCAATTTTTAATTTAATTAACGACAACTCTTTGACTTCACAAAAATATAATGATAATTTGATGTACATGTATATGAGCTAGAGAAAAAAACGCGCATTATATAAAGTTGCCAAGTTCCAGCTGGAGTTCAGGTCTACAGAATCGAATCTTCAGATTGCCAGAAATTCTCACTCCTGCAGGATGTCTTTTCTCATTTTCGCCCATAAAAATGGTGTTCGTTGAATTCCTTCTTGCTAAGAAGACGCAGTGTGCCATCTATTTGCAAAATTCATGCAGAAAATGAAGATCGATCGGTTACTGCGCTTAAAATCGCCGTTTTATTGCCAACATTTTGCATTTCCCTATCTTTTTCCTAATAAAAAATGTGCATGACACTTGCCAGAGGGTTGCGCATGCGCATTAAAAAAGTGGGGACATGATTTGCCGCGAGTTCCGCCTCTGTATATGTTTACTCTGTGGCTAAACTGAGCAGCTTGATTAAAGGCGCATGCGCTTTCACTTACATCAACCGAAATCAGTCTTCACGAACAGAAAATGCGGCTATTTCTGTATGATACTTTGAAATCTCAACACATAAGCCGCCTTGTGGTATGGCTGCAGAATAGAAGACTCCATGCATAGCCCGTGGGCAACATGATTAACAGCATGAAACAGTTTAACGACTCATGTATTCGCTCTAAAATATATCCGGGGCTGAAGATAATGCAATTCTCCAAATAATCCAGGCATGTATTCACTATGCATTAACATATGAGTAACATTGTCCTACACTGTATGTGGGTAACATATTTGACACTTTAATTAACAGCTCATGAGCTATGAAATGCAAAGCTTACCACAAATGAACAAATGAATGTCACAAAGGGAGCACGGCCCATTTAATAAATGTTCCAAACAAACTATCGTATAATCTTAAACATGGTATATGGACCTTTTCCATGTGTCAACCATGTTGGAATTAAAACGAGGCCAATAACACACGAACAGCGAAATAGAGAGACAATCCAAAAAGTCTGTAAATTTTCACACTGCTTCGCTACTTTACATTCTTTGTGCGGTATTTGCCTCGTTTTTCATTCCAATATGTGACACGTGAGCAAAGCCTCTTGTTGATTTGTATTGAAAATTAATTGTATATGCATGCATGTAGATCTACACGTGAGAATAGTTGCATGGTTGTGCGATTAACGAAAACTTCTTAGAACTTATTTTGAAATAACAAGCATGTCCGAGTTAGGGACTGACCATCAAAAAAGTGATAAGGGAGGGTGGGAATTCTATCTTTCATGAGTTTTTGGCCGTCTGTCTAAGGCGTCTTCTTTGCTTCCCTCTTTGCTCGAAAGGGAATTGCATAAACTTTCAACCGGTAAAGCGAAAAGATATTATATATAGTTACGTCTTAATTAGATATAATTAATAGAGAGTTCACGGTCTACGACGCAGCCGGCTCGACGACGCGCTTTCAAAACAAAGAAATTTGTAATGCAAGACGAACACTGCAAATAATTCGGGGTCCAAGGAGTATTCTCAGCGGCGTTGTCATTCTCAACACAACGTTGAACAAGCATTATCACGTCTTTCAAGCAACGTGAACACCCAAGAGGTGTTACTTAAAGTCGAAATTACAGCAAATATTGCATCGCTTGCCGAATTTAGCAGTTTGTAAGGCTATTTGAAAAAGCGTCAAATATTTATTACAGTAATCAAATTGCTTAGCGCTCATTCTTGAGCCGAAATTTAGACCGCGCAGTGCCGGCTGCGTCGTAGATCGTAAACTCTCTACGTTTTTACGTTTAAAAGAGTTTTATTCGCATGACCTATTTACAGGTATTGCTAAAGCATTCATAGTAACGAATATTAACAATTAACTAATCTACCAAGTGGCGGTACTAGTTATTTACAAATTAGTAGTTTCAATTAATATTTACAAGTTTAAAGTAGTTTCAATTTAGGCTAGTATAGCAAGACATATATATGTATTTATGTAAGGCAGGACCATTAGTCATTAGGTCTTGTTATGTTATTTCCGGTTTCAAGGCATTCATTTCGTTTGGTGAAACAGGTCAGGATGTATTTCGAAAATACATTTAACAGTTTTGGGTCACTGGATGACATGATGGATTGAAAATCATCATGACAGTCTAGTTTTGTCGTAAATTCTAATCGCAGTTTTTCATTTAAAATTTTTCTATCATTTGTGTAATATTTGCAAAATAGGGCAAAATGACATTCGTCTTCAACTTCACCCATGTCACAAAACTCGCACAGCCGTTGCTCACGAGGCACATTGTGGTAACGGCCACATTCAACATTAAGTTTATGGAAACTTATGCGGAATTGGCTAAGTGCTCTTCTTTGTGGTTGGTTTTTTATGTTTGTAAGGTATTCTTCTAGTTTGTAGTCGGTTTTGAATTTTTTGTAGAAATCTAGTTTGGAACTGTTGTTTAATTTATGTTTCCAAAAGTTAGTGTATTTGACTTTGGCGTTATCTACGTATTGACGTAGATGTGAGTTTGTTGTGAGTTATAAGTCATTGAGTTCGTCTGTGAAACTTGCATAATTTTTATTAAGTGCATTACATTGGAGTAGAAACTTGGTTTTTTGTCTAGAAACAAGTCCTTAGAAAGAAGAAACGCTTGCTTTACAATGGTATAATCGGGTAGGGTGTTGATGTGTACTATGTATTTCATAAGTCTTTTGAGAATAGCAATCAGCAGTGGGAATTTTCCCATTTCACCTCTGCTTGCTATGTTAGTTGCTTTGCGATTTACACCAAGGTAAATTTTACAAAATTTCGAGTGTATTTTTTCAGTTGGAGATTGGTCCCATTTGTTGAGGTCATGGTTTGCAAAAGCGCCCCACACCTCGGAGTTGTATAGAAGAATAAGCGAAATTATGCTATCAAATATTTTGACTGCTAGATTTGGGGGTAGCTTGCAAATATCAAGTTTTTTCCTTGTGGAGTTCATGGCACGATGAGCTTTGTCAGCAAGTTGTTCAACTGCTAAAGTAAACTTTCCGTTAGGTCAGAGGCTAAGTCCTAGGTAGTTGTATTCTTGAGTCACTTGGAGAACTTTGTTCTCAATTTGAAAATTTGGTGTGGGTTGTTTATTTGATGGTTTTTAGAAGATCATGACTTTGTTTTTTTTCATGTTTACATGCATCATCCACTTTTTACACCAGTCATTTAATTGATTTAAACAGTTTTAAAGACCAACCTTAGATCTTGATAAGATGACAAGATCGTCGGCATATAGTAGACAGTTTAGTTTTGTTTCATTGGATAAAATTACCGGATCCGAAGGTATGTTGCTAAATACGGGGTGGGGGGGTAGGTCATTTAGAAATATATTGAACAGCAAGGGGCTCAATGTACATCCTTAACGTACCCCCTTCTTATATGGAAAAAAACGATGTTCTGTGATTTGATTGTTTAACAGCACATTTTGAATTAGAATATAGGTTTTTCATTAATTTGTAGAAATTTCCATTGATTTTATTCTTAAGTAATTTTAAGTATAATCCGTCATGCCAAACCGAGTCGAAAGCTTTTTTGAAATCGACAAAACATGTATATAGTCGTCTATTCGTTTTCTGGTTAACATATTTATCAGTTAAAGTTTTTAAAGTAAGGATGTGATCAGCCGTTCTGTGGTCGGGTAGAAATCCTATTTGTGATGGGTGTATCACGTTATTCTCTTTTGTGAATTTCAGCAGTCTCTCATTAAGAATGAGACAGAAAGTTTTCCAAGACAACTCGACACACATATTCCTCTATAATTATTACAATCGGACCTGTCATCAGATTTAAAGATATAGGTGTAATCAATCCCTCACACCATTGTGTTGGAAAGATTCCTGCTTTTAGGATCAGGTTGAAAAGTTTAATGTAGGCCTGGAGCATAAAATTTATACTGTATTTAAGCATCTCATTTTTTATCCTATCAGAGTATGTGGACTTGTTTCTTTTTAATTTTTTGGAAGCATTTCTAATTTCTGTTCCTGATATTGGTAGATCTAATTTATCATGCTGGCTCAAATTTTGTTCATGTCTATGTAGTCCTTTTAGTATTTCTTGCTGTGCTGTATTAAGATTGTGTTTTGAATGTAAGGTTTGAAAATGTGAATACCATTGTGATTCAGGTATATTGTTGGGTGTTGTGTTCGTTATGTCATCATCTACTGTTTTTAGCACTTTCCAGAATGACTGTGGGGTTTATTTCAGCTGCTGATTCTAACTCATTGAGTTTTTGTTGGTAGAACTCGTCTTTCTTTAGTCTAAGAGTATTTTTGTAATCTTTCAAAGCTTCATGATAGCTATTTCGTAAGTTCAGATTTTGTGGATCTTTATGTTTTTTGTTTGCTATTTTCCGAACTGCGTGTCTTTTAAATCTGCATTCTTTGTCAAATCATTCTTTGTTGGTAGTATTTCTAATCTTCCTACGCCGGGTTACTTTCTTAATCTTAAGACTTTTCATTCCTGCTTCTAGGATGATGTCTTCAAAATAATTTAAACAATTATTGACTCCATCACTATTGGATGAATATTCATTAATCAGAAATTTTGAATTTTCTGTTGCATGTTTGGTGATCTAATATGTAACTAGATTGATTACCCCGAGGTGCATGCATACAGCCATAAGCATATTATATATTAAGATCAATTAGAGTATCTTCTTGTAATTTTTATCAAGTGTCAATAGTGCAATTTAGTCAACACAAGCTGTATGCATTGTCCCAGTTTATAGGCAACTGGTAATTTGTCCGTGGTAATTAAGCCGCGCCGAACTTAAAAAATAATCATGCATATATATTTATTCTAGATAATTTAGCTGCTATATATTTAAATTACTTTGTAATTCACTTTCGCTCAAGAAAATGTTTATTCTACAAGTATGATAAAAAAGAACAAAAACAGTATAACAGTAAACAGTTAGATAACGCCAGTTGATACATATTTACGCGGATTAAGCAGATAACAGAGAGAAGCACGTGATTGATTTGTGCACTGAGCCCGCGTAATGAAAGGGCAAATGCCAGTACTTCATTTTGTTAACTTTTATATTGCTACCAGCTTCGTAATGTCGTATTCCTTACGTTTAATTTCCCATAATTTTAAATTCTCTTCAAAACACATAAGCTAAACACATAAAGCTATATTGATGTTTAAAACAATTAATGAATTAACTCCGCATTATCTCGATGAATTGTTTGAATCCCGCAGCACAGGATACAATTTGAGAGACTCTGAAAACACTTTATTTGTCGGCAAAACCGCGATCGAACTATATGGTAAATGAAGTTGTAGTTTGTCTGCGATAGGAGACTGATCTCAGCCGACTCCCCCGCGCCCGGAGCGGAGGAGAAACAGTCTGCGATCAATCGACGCTAATACCGTACAGTTACGCAGCAGTATTTCGAATAATTATTTTAAAATTATTAAAAAAATATCAAGTCCAAGATGGCGGATGCAGAGCAACTATATGTATAGGTTATTTTGAGGCAACGAGGGGATATGTGATTTATTCACCGAGGCGCGCAGCGCCGAGGTGAATAAACACATATCGCCGAGGTGCCTCAAAATAACGTACTTATTTTTCACACTGCGAGGTCGCGTTAACGAGTCAGAAAAGAAATAATTCTTAATGCCATATTGCCTTCGCGATGTTGTTTTTTCTCATTTTTTGTGCTGCAAAGACATTGCAGGTGAATATTAGAGGGGATTATTAATTGCAGGTGAATATTAGAGGGGATTATTAAACGGAAATTGATTAGAGGGAAATATTGAATATATTCCCCGACAAGAACAAAGGAAACCGAGCAGGGTGAAAAATAAAATAGGATATATTTAGCGTTCAATTGTACATTTAACTATTGTTTGTGACACTAACCTTAATTGTAGGAATAGCTGCATTATAATATAGAACAAGTGTAAATTGCATGTGCATCTGTTAATCCTTTCAAGCTAGGGTATATATATAGTCTTGGTAGCCTGTGCTACAGCCATACAAATCATTGTTGCTTATAATAATTCCTCTTTATCTTCTGATGTGTTCACTGGTAAGTGCTTGGTGAATGTTCCTCTTGCGTTTGTTTAGCTATAGTCATATGCAGCGACAATTTGTCTATAATGTTGCTGCTAATGAGTAATGTATCTGATGATATATCTGCGAAGAAACCTTCATGAAAGTGATCATATATTGTTGATTGCAAATGGTTTCAATTCCATGAGATGAGATGAGATAAAATAACATTTTCTCTGAAGATTTGTGCTTGTGAGAGGATGACTTAATTCCTACAGCTATGTCGAAGTTGTTTATCATTTCTGCAGATATCCCTCCAGTCGCTGTACTTTAATATTAAATAAACATTCGATTGACTTCACTGTCTTGGGTGTTTTCTTGGCCGCCATTCTTTTAATTTAATGTTAATTTAGGAAGCTAGATTAGAAAATCCGTCATTGATCATCACACACAAGAGTTTCACAATTCACAAATTCTGCGATACGAAGCAGGTTTTTATTTCGCTATTCAGCTACCTCTAAGAATAGGTTCGGTTGTAATACTTCTTGTCGATAATACTACCACAAATGTGACACTTCCATTCCGAAAACAAAGCGGACTTCGGATAAATCATCTTTGGAGTTTCCTTTCGCTGTCCCATAGAGTTGAGAGCTACTGAATACTGTACTTTGACTTTGTATAAGTGAGTGTCCCTATATGTCGTGTGTCGTGTGTCGTGGGTTAAAAGTCGTGTGTCGTGGGTAAAGTCGTGGGTAAAGTCGTGGGTAAAGTCGTGGGTAAAGTCGTGGGTAAAGTCGTGGGTCATAAAATGTGCTAAAAACGCATTTTTTCATATTTTTATCTTTAATATTTTTTTCGTACTTTTTCATTTTATGCGCGAGATAAATACAGGAAAATTTAACGCAACAAATCTTCAGTAATAAAACAATTTCTTATCTTGCTGTTATCTATAGTATAACAAGTATAAGTGTTTCCGTTTCGTATAGTCTAATAAGTCTATAAATGTATTGTTTGATGATAAAATGCCCTAAGTTATAGGCTTATAGGATATTAGGATGTAGGTTTATCAGCTTTGGAAGTGTAATAGTCCCTATCATCAACATCGCGAATAACTATGTTGATTGCATATGTCTGATGCAAACATATTGAGCTATAAACTCTACGTGGCCAACGCTCGAGCCTCAAAATTTTACTATTTTATCTCCTAGACCTAGTATATGTTCGTGG